ACACACACACACACACACACACACACACACACACATAAATGTAAAAAAAATAAAATAAACCTTTCCTTCTTTAACACGTGGTGCTGAGTATTTTGTCCCAGTGATGAGAAAGTAACTAAAACAGACATCTATCCTTTTTCTTTCCTTCTCTTTTTGGGTGGAGGGGATTTATTTTGTGGTTTTATTGTTATCTGAATTCTTAATGTTAGCCATTCTTTCTGGAGTAAGATGGCATCTCACTATTGTTTTAACTTGCATGTTTCTTTTTTCTTTTTTTTTTTTAGAACTGGGGATTGAACTCAGGCCCTTGTGCTTGCCAGGGAAGCACTTAGTCCACTGAGCCCTCTCCCCGGCCCCTAACTTGCATGTTTCTAATGGCCAGAAATGTTGAACCTCTTTTCTTATATTTATTGACCATTTGTATTTTTTCTTTCTAAAATAGAAGAAAAAATATTCGTTCAATTCAGTGGTGCATTTTTAATTAAGTCTTAATTTAGGAGTCTTAATATTTTTTAGTAGTTTATTATATTCTAGCTATTAATCTTCTGCCAGGGCTATTATTGGCAAACAACCTTTCCCATTCTATAGACTGTCTGTTCGCTATGTTGGTTGTTTCTGGCTGTGCACAAGCTTTTTCTTTGATATGATCCCATTTGTTGACTCATGATGTTATTTTTGATGCATTGATGTTATGTTCGAGAAGTTCTTGTCTTATTCCTGTCTTCAAGAATTTTACCTATTTTATCTTCCAGCAGATTGTTTCTGGTTTTCTTTTTTGTTTTAAAATAGTGTCTTGCTATGTAGTGTGGAGTGACCTTGAACTCACTGTGTAGCCCAGGCATTTTATGTTGTTTTTTTTGCTTGTTTGCATTTGTTTTCTTTGCAGTCCTAGGGATTGAACTTGGCGCCTTGTGTTTGGCAGGCAGGCACTTATACTGCTGAGCTATAACCCCAACCCTATTTTTTTGTCTGTTTAAGACAGGATCTTACCATGTAGTTCAGGCTCAATTCGAACTCATTGTATAGCCCATGCTAACCTCCAACTTAGAATTCTCCTGCCTTAGTCTCCCAAAGTACTGGTCAGGTTGTTTCAATATTTAGATCTTTAGTCCATTTTGATTTTAGTTTAGTACATGGTGAGAGATATGGGTCTAGATTCATTCTTTTGCATGTAGACAGGCAGTTTTCTTAACACCATTTGTTAAAGTGGCTATCTTGGGGCTGGAGAGATGGCTCAGTGGTCTAAAGCACCTACTTAGAACAAGCTTAGCAAAAGCATCAGGGACCGCGGTTCGATCCCCCAGCACCAC